TGAAAAGCAAAAGAAAAACTCCCTCGTTGGTACACAATACCCCCCGCACCTCCCCCAATCCCACCCCCAACCCCAAATATAATCTTTTAATTGGGGAGCTCCAACAAACACTGTCCACCATGGGTAAACATTATTGCACTTGACACAGAAACATGTAAATGCATTTTCATCATGACTTTGTTGAAAATATAAAGAGCATTATGAGGATTTAAAATTTTTAATTATAAAAAGTTATACATACTCAAGTATTGAACTTATGAAAAAACAGGCACCAAGGAAATGAATTTCCAAATCACTCATAACTCCAGTAGTAAATGACAGCCACTTGATTTCTAGTCTTTTTTTACAATTTTTATTTTATTTTATTATTTTCTCTGTGTGTGTACTGTCAAATCGGATCTGACTGGTACAGGAGGAGACGGCCCCTCCTTCTCCGGCAGATCATCTGGTGGATTCGAACCTCATTATCTCTAGGACTGCACTGCAGCTTCTTGCCATTAGGCCACCAGAGCTCCCCTGATTTCTAGTCTTTTTAAAAGTACATAATAACAATTTACAACACTAGCACCTCTCTGTATATACTATTAGAACTCGCAGGAGGAAAACGATAAGCATCAACTGAGAATTAGAAAACATTAACAGATGGAAAGATGCCATCATGCTCTTGGATGGTAAAAATGTTACTTATTTTCCAATTCACTTACACACTTTAAAATGACTTAAAAATGTGCTCATATGTCAATGGGACTCATCCAATCAACTGAAGGCTTTATGAGAGTTAAAAAAAAACCCCAACTTTCTCTAGGGATTATTCTACCACTGCATAATTAAGAAATATTCTGACATACAGATTTTGAGACACAAGATTGAAAAAAACCCCTAGCCTGTTGTTTGGCCTATGGACTTCAGATGTATCAACTTCCTAGAATAATGTGGGCCAATTCCTTAAAATAACGTGTATATTCTCTCTCTACACATACACACATACACACATACACACACACACACACACACACACACAGGCCCCCTATCCTTTACTGGTTCTGTCACACACACACACAGAGTCTCCCACCTACCCCCATCCCTTACTGGTTCTGTCATACACACACACATACACCTCCCCACACCCACACAGGTTCTCTCTCTCTCTCACCCCGCCCCCCATCAACCCTCCCACTGGCTCTCTCTCTCACACACACACTCCACTTCTTATTGGGTCTGTATTTCTACACACACACTCTTACTCTCTTTTCATCACTTATTGTCCCCCCCTTATTGGTTCTTTCTTTACACACCCACCCATATCTTATTGAATTCTGTCTTTCTAGAGACACCCCCCTCATTTGTTCTGTCTTTCTTACACCCCACCCCCACCCCCATACTGGTTCTGTCTTTCTAGAGACATCCTCTACCCCAATCCCTAATTGGTTCTGCCTTTGTAGACACACATTCTCCTCCCTTATTGGTTCTATCTTTCTAGAGACACACAGACAGACAGACCCCCCCCCACTCCCCTATTGGTTATGTCTTTCTAGAGAACTCTGGCATTTAAAATTTGTACAGAAAAGAGGAGGTCTTGTGGCGTAGTCTGTAATGTGCTGTGCTGCTAATCTAGAATTGATGAGGAAAGAATTTAATAAATTGTACTAAAACAATAACAGGAGAAAAGTTGGCTAGGCAATTGGCTAGAAAATAAACAGCCTCAAAGCCCCATGCTAAAGTACATTTTAGGCTCATGAAAGATTTAAACATTAGTGAAGATACTGTAAAAGTAGGCAAAGAAAATAAAAGTATATATTTATATAATTTAGAGAGTGAGGAGTATATAAGCATGACACTAAAGTATGATGCGAGAAGAAATTTAACTACACAAATTTAAAATGTTTACATACTCATAAATGAAAAGATACACAAAAGCCATCTGCCAAAAAAACAAAAACAAACCCAACCAAACAATCCAAAGAAAGCAAGGATATTTTCCACACATTTGTAAGATTAATTTTATATATTTAAAAGCTTTACACATACTGACACCCACAAAAACACTAGAAAAAAAATCTGAGCAAAAACTGTAATCAAGAAGGGCTTTTTTGAAATATTACTAACCCAGAAATTGTAAAAGAAATGGACAGATTTGATTACAAGTAAAAATAAAAAGCTTTTTCAAAACAAAAGCTCCTACACCAAGTAAAAATATAAACACAGAACCAGGAGGAAAGTGTGGCAACACATGACAAAGAACAAAGATGTTTAATATATGAAAAGTTTTTCTATAAATAAAGATCAAAATCTCAAGAGAAAAAAACAACCTGTCAAACTAGATTCTATACCCAATTCATTTTTCAAAAATGAAAGCAAAATACACTTGCAGATATACAAAGGTTGAAAAGATTTATTACTAGTACACACACACACACACACACACACAGAGTAAGAAATGTTAAAGGATGTCCTTCAGTTCTAAGAAAAATGCTATCAGATGGAAACAAGAATCTACAAAAAAGTGCAGAGTACTTAAAATGGTGACTACTTGAGAAAAGACTTATTTTAAAATTTTTATTTTTTAAACCTTTTTAAAAGATAATTGGCCCAAACCAAAAGTTTATTCTGAGGTTTAAATATTTCTATCTTAAGTCTATATGAGTAAATGTAGCCATATCTAGGTTCTGTTGGCTCAGTGCTAAGGAATTGCACTGTCAACCTATAACCTTGAGGTTTGAATTCATAAGCTGTTCCTCAGGACAATCTCCTATGCAATTTACCGCCTCTGAAAACCTGCTTGTGTGTCAGCTATGCAGCTATGTGTTCCAACTCAACAGTACCGAATGACAACAAGAGGTCCCAAAACCAGGTTATGCAACAATTAGCATTATGTGAAAATGGAGAGTGACCACGTCCCTTTAGCCTCACCTGTACTGTTGATATCTCATTGGGATGCTGGTGAAATCATCTGCTACCACCTCTTTCCCTTCTTCTGCATCACCTTACAGGGAGATCAGTCCCCACTGCTGCCTGCAGGTGAGGGCTGCCCAGTGTTCCAGAATCAGGTGGCCCACTTACTTGCCCTTCTTGGAGTCCCACCCTTCTCCTGTCCTCAGTGTATTTTCAGGAAGAGGACTCTGGCTCCTCTTGACAACCCCTAATCACCCTTGGTTGGAAGTAGGGGGCTGTGTGGGTGGGAGGGCCTAGGGTTTCTTGCATCTGCTGGCTTTTGCTGGGGGACCCTTCCCTCCTTTCTCCACATATACAAGAAAAATGACAATCAGGAGTTTCCTCCAAGGCTGTTACAACCACATCTAGTCTCTGCCTTTGACTTTAAACTATAGCTGCCACTGGTCACACACCCACTCACCCCTCTCCTGCCCAGTCAGCCTTCTCTGTCCTTACCTATGCCTGCTCAGGAGAAGGCATCCAGGAGGCATACATGGCTGCACAGCTGTGAGTCAGCTGATACAGTCAGGGGTTTCATGTGCCCAGCCACCTTAGTGCATTAGTTTTAACAAATATGAACAATAAATTCCATAAAATTAGGACCAGGAATTGTCCATTACATTTAGCAACCTGGAGGCTATGGAAGTGTTTAAAAGGGTAGTTTTTAGCAGAGTGAAGACAAAAATCTTTGTTCTTGGCTCAAGAAAACCAGAAGAGAGAAACGGTAACCCTTTTCTGTAGCAGGGTAACAGGTCAAGAGGGAAATAGAACAATGAAAGAATTTTTTTGGTTTGTTTTGTTGTGGACTTGGAGAAATTACTGCATGTGTTGATGCTTATTAAGGAGCCCAGGTGGAGTAGCAGGTTAGTGTATAGGGCAGCTAACTGAAAGGTAATTAGAATCCACTAGCCTCTCCAGAGAAGACAGACCAGCAGACTCCTGTAATGATGCAAAGCTTCAAAACCCAGAGCTGCCGCTGTTATGCACCACTGACTCACAGCTGACTGCACGAGAGGACAGGACTCATCGTTCTCCCGAGGAGCAGCGGGTGGATTTGAGCCACATGCCTTTATTAGGATGATCTAGCAGTGAAGAGAGAATAACTGGAGCAGTATTTTTTTATGGTATCGCAATTTAGTTTTAATTCAGTGAAGGAGCAGTATTTTAAGAGAAAGAAGTGGTGGCACTTGCATCTAGTACAGATGGGAGGAAGCAACATTGGCTTGTCTGTCCATTCCAACAGAAGTCAAGAGTTTTGGAAGTCCATATGGATAGGGGAGCAAATATATTGTTAGGAACTTAAAATGGTCTTTTTAAATGATGCCAATTTTTCTTGGTGAAGTAGGAAGTGAATTGTTAGCTTTAAGGATGGATGAGGAAGAATTAAAGGTTTCAGGAGAAAGAAGAAAATATGAAACAGTGCCAAAGACTTAAGTATGCAAAAGCTGCAGCCAATGAGACATCTTATTTGATAGAAAATGTAAAACAAAACCTGATGCCAAAGTTTCCCCAAAATATTATACCCTTGTTGTATGTTTTAATACCCAGTTAGACTTAGTTCTATTTCTTAGACCTTTTATATTGTTATGTGCCAACACGTTGGAACTGACGCATAGCTGACCCTCTAAGATGCTATAAATTGCATGGCAAGATTGTGCATTTTTCTCCCATTCAACAGCTGGTGGACTTAAACCACATGCCTTTGAGATGGCAGCACAACTCCTTACCACTAAGCCACCAGAGTTCCCTACCTTTTATATCTGTGGTCAAGTGGTTGAAGGTTGTAATAATGGTTTTTCAAGTATTAAGTTCTAAAATGTCAAAGAAAAAAATAATTCTGTATTTAATGAGGAAAAAAATTTAGCCTCATCTTGTTTAGCAAGACTTACATACTAATCAGTGTTAACTCAGAAACGACAAAAGGCCACACACACACACACACACACACACGCTGTTCGCCTCGGCTTTAGGTTTGCCTGCACCACGGCGAGTCAGTCGCAGGGCATTCAGCAGCTGCTGCAGGTGGAGAAGCGCGCCGCCGAGAAGGTGTCGGAGGCCCGCAAGCAGAAGAACCAGAGGCTGAAGCAGGCCAAAGAGGCAGCACAGGCTGAAATTGAACAGTACCGCCTGCAGAGGGAGAAAGAGTTCAAGGCCAGGGAAGCTGCAGCTCTGGGATCCCATGGCAGTTGCAGCACTGAGGTGGAGAAGGAGACCCAGGAGAAGATGACTATCCTCCAGACCTACTTCCGGCAGAACAGAGATGATGTCCTGGATGATCTCCTGAGCTTTGTGTGTGACATCTGGCCCGAAATCTATGAAAACTACCGCATAAATGGATAGGAGGAGAACCATGCTCCATAGATTGGCCTTTTAGATGCTGTGACATGGAAGAAGATTTAGCAAAGCTTTCTTCTTGTGACAAAGCATTAAATTATTTCTGTATATTATAAATTCCTTTACTTTGTGGAGAGTAGCAAAACCTAGTATTCTGTGTAGATTTAGAGCTTATCCAAATTATTTCTGTATATTATAAATTCCTTTACTTTGTGGAGAGTAGCAAAACCCAGTATTCTGTGTAGATTTAGAGCTTATCCAAAGATTTCATCTTTTTACCTCCTATTTCTTATAAACGTAACAATTTTCTTGGGCTTTTTGGCTGTAGTTAGCATATATTAATATGAGTTCTTTCTTAGATAGCTAGTAAAACAATTCTTCAAAGAAAGAAATGGGTTAAGTATTTCATTTCCCTAAATCTTTCTTGAAAGTCAGGGGCTTTACTGATGAAAAAGTCGTAAATAGGTTTTTTTGTAACTTGTTTGAATATCAGCCCGCCTTAAAAGAATCCTTTCTGTTAGAAAAATGAATAGAGGTTTTCTCTGCTATCCAAAAGTAGAGCCTTCTTGTGACACCTTTACTAAACCAAAATGAAATGAAGGTGCAGTTAACGTTCATTTATGTGGGAAAATTTTTAAACATTCTCGACCCCCAAAATAAGTTACCAAATAATGCGTAAAGCCAAAAAAAGTTAATATAATGTTCAGACAGTTCAGAACTGATGGCTCAATGCTAAAATGCTGAGTGTAGTAACCACGCAAGGAGCTTGGTAACACTGAATGCTTGGTGTGCACGGTTGCAAGAACAAATGCCTGGATGCTGGTTTCACTCTTTTTGCCTTTTTCTGTAAAAGCAAGAATCCCTTTTAAATTTACTTCAGTTCATGGAAACAGGTACTAAAGCAGGCCCTTTGTTAAGTGAGGTGACATACAGTGACCTTTCGGAAAGCAGAACATACTTGTAGTCGGCTAGTTGGGGCTGCTCTTGAGTTTCTTGTAGAAGTTACTAGAGAGTAGAATATGGAAACTTGTTACTTGTTATTAATATACTGGTAATCATTTAAAAGTAAAGAAAAGGCTATATATATAACTAAAAGAGAGCTCAGGTGCTCTAGTGGGCAAAGAGTTGTGCTGCCAACACAAAGGAAGGTTGTTCAAATCCACCAGAAGCTCCTTATAAGAAAGATTGGGAAATCTTCTCTGGTGCTATTTACAGCTTCTGAAAACCCACTGGGCAGTGCGTTGACTCAGTTCACACTCCTTGGCACCTAACAACAACAACAACAACAACAACAACAACAACAATATAATTAAACAGTATACCTTATTTACCCAGTCAAGGGAAACCTTGCTTATACTGTACGTATGTAGAACATCAGTTCATATATTCCAGGAACAGAGTGAAGGGATTCTGTGACCCTATCAAAAGGAGTGACATTTGTCACATGACACCACTACTGAGTTGTTATGCATTACAATATTTAAACCAAGAACTAAGGCTATACAACATTAGGATGAATGAAGTCCGTCAGTCATCAAAGGACGTTATGTTCTCCAAGTACACTATTAGACAAAGGTAAAACATACATAACGTAGCATTCTTTCATGGTTTTGAGGTTGAGAGGGAAAAAATAGTGAGTACATAAATAGTAGCTACGTAGTGAGATGGGTGAAGAGTAAGGAATACAAGACAATAAAGGAATGATCAGCGCACCGTGTCACTCAAGAATGGAAGACACGGCAAGGCACACAAAAAATAGTCAAAGGGAGCTCTGGTGGCCTAGTGGCAAAAAGCTGTACCGCAATCCTGAAGGTGCTCGGTTTGAATACACCAGATGCCCTGCTGGAAAAGGAGGGGATATCTCCTGTGCCAGTCAAAACAAAGGTCAGCACTACTCTATATACAATTCTGTCCTATCAACAAGAGTCAACATTCATCTCTGAATGGGCATACAGGCAGAGTGGCAGGAAAAACAGTCAGAGGCAGGTCAAAGGGACTACACTTATGACCATACACAGGCTTGACAGATGACAGTTCTACATTAATACTCGTATATTCTAGATGCATTTGTATAGGAAAGAGAAAGCAAAATTAAGTCATCTTTAAAAAAAACATTCCATGAGGGGAATGAGTTTGTCCTTAGGACCTCAGGACCATAGAGTTGGAGACATCAAGATCAATGGGCATAGCATAGTCCATAGAAACAATATTCTACATCTTACTTTGCTGAGTAGTGACTAGGGTCTTAAAAGATTTCAAACAGTCATCTAAGGTACTAGTACTGGTCTGTCCTTGTCAGGAATAATGATAAGGGAAGAAAACAGATATAGAAACTACTTGTCCAAAGGATCGATGGACAACTCAAACCTCAACCTCTAAGACCATGAGGCCGGAAGTAGTACACAGTGCCTGGCTACCACAGCTGACTACTCTAAACGGTCCTAGATAGAGTGGCCCAACAATGTGGGACAAATGAAAAAACTTAAAAATGGCCTGCCTTATTAGTCTGACAAAGACTGGTAGAATCCAAGTTTATTGCTCTCAGTCACCCTTAGAACCAGGGACAAAAATCACTCCTGTGGCAGAACTCTGGGCCAAATGACAGCCAGGGGAAAAAGATGAACAGGTAACATCAGGGAAGCACTCTCTCCTTAGACCCATCAACCATGGATGATGAGCAAAAAGGCAGCACATACCCAGGGAGACAGCTCTGGAGGCAAAACGGGTGGGATGGAAGGATTAATGGAATTAAGACTCACAGAGAAAGTGGGAAGGGTGCTGTTACGCTGTGGAACGGCAATTAATGTCATCGAACAAAATGTCTATGAATGGCTGAATGGAAAACCAATTTGCTTTGAAAATTTTGACTCAAATTACAAGAAAAAGAAAGAAAATACAAAAGATTCCCAAATACCTTCTCATCCAAGTCTGAATCTTTCATTAGTTCACTGAAGTCTTCGCGTTTTTCATTTTCAGAATCTTCATTAGGAACTTCTTCTAAGGACACAGTTACATCTTTGGACTTATGCTTTATCTCATTTGCTAAGGAAAAAGGATATAAGCTTTAAAGATCTTTAAATGACAAAATAGCCACTCAAGTTATTAAAAAATGGCTTTAAAATGAAAGCGAATTCAGACACTTTAAAAGACTAAGAGAGCTCTGGAAGCCTAGAGGGTAGGGAGCTGTGCTCTCACCTCAAAGAAGGGCAGCCTGGATTTACCAGCTTGCTCTTTGAGAGAAAGACATGCAGTCTTCTCCTGTACAGTTTACAGTCTCTAAAAAACATGCCTGAGGTCAGCTATGAGTCAATTCTTCCTCCACAGAAATGATTTTTTGGTGTGGTTTTTGTTTTTGTGTGTTTGTGTGTGTGTGTGTGTGTGTGTGTGTGTTTTTTAGTTCAAGATCTAATGTGACAAATTATACACTAACTCGTTTCTCTTTACAAAAATAACTCCATTATGTGGAATAAAAGAACTAGCAGTAACATAAAAGTGAAGGATATTTAAAGATATATTTAAGAATCTTTCTTGATCATGTTCAGCCATTTTCAATTTATTTTTGTAACGTGAAAGCCAAAGTAAAATTAAGTTTCACATAAAAGTAGTTCCTAAACTAATTTAACGTGAAGTAAAAATCCAGGTAACCAATATAATGACAAGCTGTTAATGATATTAAAAAAAATTTAAAATTCAGATCTAAAATGTGAAGTGAGATATAGATTTCAATTTCAAAATAAGATTATAAAAATTATTGAGACTAATTATTTTTGTACAAAACCTAGCATAGTTATTTTTCAAATAAGTGGAAAAGATCTCAAAAACTTACTTGCTAATCAGTCATGTTAAAATGGAGGAAAACTGCCCAACTATAAACCATAGCATTAACAGATTCATTATAAGACATTTGATTTCATACTAACTAGGCTTGACTGAGGATGAAAAGAAAAAGCTATTTCAACACTGCGTATTCCAAAAATTCCCACTCTTACCTTCTAATAAGGAATCACAGATGTCTGACTTCATCAATCCAGGGTCCAGCACAGTCGGATCTCTATTATAAAGCCAACAGAACTTGAGACAGTATATTCTTAGTACTCTCTCTCTTACACACACACACACTCTCTCTCTCTCAATACTATGGAATACTGGTGTTATCAGCTAGTGAACATAAATTCAAGACCTCTAACACTATACTGGGCTTCAGGACTCAGTACATTCCTCATGTGGCTCTGTAATCAAATGCTGTCTCAAAATCAGGAGGTCTTGGCATTCAACTTTGTTATTCTGAGAGTAACAAAGTAACACTGAGATAAATAAAAAGTTGAAAATTATACCAATGCAAGACACTGTTTAAGTTCTCCTCTCAAGCATACATTAATTAAGTATGACTTCAGTACAAAAGGGAGACAGATGAAGTTTCTTGTTTTGAGGGGGGGTAGTTTTTTAATTTTGGTTTAGTTTTTGCAATTTTAAAGTATAAGGCTTTATTGCTTAGATGGTTGGATAAAGAACAGCTTTTCATTCTGAATTTGGAAGTACTATACAACTGAATACAAAGAGGAACAAAAGTACCAAAACCAAACGTGTGATTCTCAAGTTTTTGAGTTTTTTTCCTTCTTTATTGATTAATAAACATAACGCTAAGACTCAATCACTACATTAAACATGTGATTGAAAGTAAAACAAACCCCCTGAGTAGCTGTTTCCCAGACTCTGCGGGGGAAGCTAAGCAGCAGAAAGATTCACTGGTAACTCTCTTCTCTTCTTTTTCAAGAAGGAAGTTGGTCCTAGTAATTTCAGCCCATGCATTAAACAGGAAGCAATAATAAATATGTAGAATTATTCATATTTTCCTACAGGGAACTTAAAAAGCTGCTTCTACATGTTACGTATAAAACTGGTTGATGCCACACAAACAGAGAATCACGAGTTTGGGGGGGTAGTTTGCGGGGGTAGTCTTTAAAGACAACAAACCATCTAACATCAGAAGGCTCTAAATTTCAGAATTAGATAAATCCATGATCAAATATTTTTAATAATCTGTGGCTTCTTTTGAGAAATCTTATCTACAAAATGAGAATATCAGCTACTTATGATGTTACTGTGAAGATTAAATAACATGTCCTTAGAGGCACAAGCTCAACAAATGACAAGTACATATACAGCAGCTACTCAAATACAAAGCCACAGTCCACCTGGAAGCATCTAATAAAAAAAAAGGCCAAACATATATTCTGTTTTTGTGAAATATAAGATAAAAATGTTAAATATCCATAAGTATACAGAATATAATCAGCATCTATAATTATACCATTATTTTCATAACCAGACTTTATTAAACATATTTCACAGCTCTCCAACTGCTCTTCATCAGTTCTAGGTTACTTCCTATCACAAAAGAAAAACTAAACAGAACAATTTGTGGCTATTTTTCTTTTTCCTCAACATACCTCCTAGTGACAATGAGAAGTAGAGTTTAAAGAAGTAGAGTTTAAAGGTAGGGAAAGCAGTAATACAGATAGAAAACACTTATCTATACATGCAATTTTCCTTTCTCAACCCAGGCCTTTCTCTAGATTTATATCTACCAGAGTATTTTAATTTCAATAACCTAAAGGCTTCTCTCCACGGTCAACACTCTTGGCACCAGCAGTCAGGAAATCAAAAAGTATATTGTAATGGGAAAGTGTGCTGTTAGGGACCTCTCTAAAGTACTCAAGAGCAACGGTGTCTCTCTGGAGACTAAGGTGCGCCTGATACAGGCCATGGTCTTTCAATCACTTGTTATGCATCAGAGAGTTGGATAATGACTAGGGAGGAAAGAAGTAGAATTGATGCCTTTGAGCTGTGGTGCTGGAGAAGAGTATTGAATGTACCATGGACTGCCAGGAAAACAAACAGATTCATCATGGAGAGGATTAAACCAAGCAACTCCTCGGAGGCAAGGATTCTGGGGCTTCGTCTGACATACTTTGGACATGCTGCAAGGAGGGACAGGTCCTTGGAAAGGGACATCATGCTTGGGAGGGTGGAGGGATGGTGCAGGAGGGGAAAACCCTCTATGAGATGGATTGATTCAGTGACTGGGGTAATCAGGATGGGTGTGTCAGAGGTAGTGCGACTGGCACAGGATAGAGCAGGGTTTAGGGCTGTTGTACATAGGGTCGCTATGAGTCACAAACGACTCGACGGCACACAACAACAACAACAACAAAGCCCTCTTTAATACAACATGATTAATTCTGACAACTCATGAACAAGCATCTTTTCCTGAATTTTAGTCCTCAGTATCTGAGATGAATTGTAATGTCCTTCTCAAAGACAAAAACAAAACAAAATTCTCCTTCTGCCTCACCCCCATCTGATCAATCTTCACTCCCTGAATCTCTTTCACATCTAGTCATGTTCTCTTCTCTTTCTCACTTCAGCGTTTGAAGTCACAATGTCCTTTAGGTTTAATTATTAAAATCGCCCCGTGCCAATTTATTTTCCATACTACACAGGCATAATGGTTTGAAAATGTAAAACAGATTATCTAATTCAAAGCCCACAAAATTCCTATTTGTGCTAAGGATAAAGTTCAAAATCACCATAAGTTCTAGTTAGCTGCCTTTTACCCTACTATGCTTCTCTATGCCAACACCACACAGTCATCAAAGAGGGAATGGATGCAACCCATTAGTCTCTAAATGCCACGACAAGTGATTCAGATGCTAACTCTGGTATATGAGAACCACTAAAGCACTGTAATATCAACTCTTTGAATACCATATGACAGAGGAAAGACCCTCAGGAAAAACCAGGAGCCACATAATCTAAGAGAAAGGTAACAACAGTGATAACTGAGGAGGAAGAACAATCATTAGATATATTAATAGTGTGAACAGCGTTGAATGGTCCTATATAGAAGTGAGGGATGGAGATGCCTCTGAAATTTCTAATTATCCTGGAAGTTTCATTCCTAAATGTGTTCAGTAAATGTAGTGCTTAATTTAAAAGAATTAAGCTAGTTTTAGAATACTGGCATGAGAAACTCTTTTCTATGATGAGTAATAAAGATGGTGACACTGACAAGGCACTCCTACTTTTTTTATTTGAGGGACATAAAGAAGTTCAGCTAAATTAAAAATATTTAACAAGCAATGCTGTAATCTATTTAAATATCTTGGTTTTATGCTGACAGAGTATAACATTACAGTTTGGCATTGATGCAGTAGGATATAGAGGAGAAGAGACAAAGGTTAGAAAGAGAAAAGGAAAGAGACATATCTGAATGAGATTAGAGTTATGTGCCTTCCAGTTGCTTGCGACCTATAGCGACACTATGTACAACAGCCCTAAACCCTGCTCTATCCCTTGCCAACCTGTCTCTGATGTGCCTATTATCCTCATTACCCCAGTGATGGAATCAATCCATCTCATGGAGGGTCTTCCTCTCCTGTGCTGTCCCTCTACCCTCACAAGCATGACGGCTCTCTCCAAGGACTAATCGCTCCTTGCAACATGTCCAAAGTATGTCAGACAAAGCCTCAGAATTCTTGCTTCCAAGGAGCAGCCTGGCTTCACCCTCTCCAGGATGAACTTGTTTGTTCTCCTACCAGTCCATGGTATATTCGATACTCTTTCGATACTCTTCTCCAGCACCAAAGCTCAAAGGCATCAACTTTCCTTCTATCATCTGTAGTCACTGTCCAGCTCTCTGAAGCATAGGAAATAATGGCAAAGACCATGGGCTATATATATCAGGTGCACTGTAATCTCCAGACTGACATCATTGCTCCTCAGTACCTTGGTGAGGCCTCTGACAGGAGACTTTCCCAGTGCAATTCGTCTTTTAATTTCCTGGCTGCTGGTACCAAGAGTGTTGATTGTAGAGCCAAACAAACTGAAGCTGTCAACAATCTCAATCTCTTCACCATCTATCATGATGCTGCCAATTGGCCGAGTGGTGAGAATCTTTGTTTTCTTGACCTTGAGCTTCAATCCATATTGAAGGCTGCAGTCCTTGATCTTACGCAGCAGATGCTTCAGGTCCTCCTCAGTTTCAGCAAGCAGGGTTGAGTCATCTGCATAAATCAAGTTGTTGATGATTCTACCTCCAATCCTGATGCCACACTTCTCCTTATAGAGCCCAGCCTCCTGGATAATCTGTTCTGTATATAGATTGAAAAGATATCCTTGACACAAACCCTTCCCAATTTTGAACCATTCCGTGTTTCCTTGCTCTGTTCTGATGACTGTGTCCTGGTCCACGTATAAGTTTCGCATAAGCATGATCAAATGTTTTGGGATTCCCATTCCTCTCAAAGTCAGCCACAGTTTTTTGGGATCCACACAGTCAAATGCCTTTGCATAATCAATGAAACACAGATAGGCATTCCTCTGGTACTCTCTGCTTTCAGCCAATATCCATCTGACATTAGCTATAATATCCCTAGTGCCAGGGCCTCTTCTAAGTCCAGCCTGCACTTCTGGCAGTTCTTTGTTGATTCCAGTCATTTTTGGATGACCTTCAGCAGAATCTTGCTTGCATGTGATATCGATGATATTGTTTGATAATTTCCACATTCTGTTGGACTATGGTAGTATAGAGGAAAAAAAGCACATAGGAGGAAACTGCCTATCTTTCTTCTGAAGAGCCATAGGTGATTTTGAACTACCTGCCTTTATGTTGGCAGTGCACCTCCTTACCACTAGGCCACCAGAGTTCGCTGCTTACATTATATTAAGTTTATCCTTTCCCAGAAAAGTATTTTTCAAGTGGCTGTTATATTTATCTAGTGTGTTTCAAGGGAGCCCCAGTAGCACAACCCACATGGAGGAGCTTCACTGCTAACTCAAAGGCCACTCCTTTCAGGTGGTTCAAATCCACCAGTAATATGAGAGAGAAAGATGGGCAATTTCTTCCCATGTGATTTAGAAGCTTGGGACACCACTAGAGAATCAGCTATGAGTTGTTTCTGACACAATAGCAATGAGTTTGAGGGTTTTTCTCCCAAGAGTCAATCACAACTGGGATTACATATGTTTAAAAAAAATTTACATACTATA